GCTTCACTGCCAAAGCCCTTGTACTCCTTGTACGCTTCAAGGTGAGGGTAGACCAGTTGCCCCAGGTGCTCTATCTATGTAGAGACTGGATCATATTCCCAAAGCTCCACAGGTGAGCCTAGGTTGGAAAGAATCTTATTCATCTGCATCATCTCCTCCTGAAGAATCTGAGGACTTAGGACATCATTCTATAGACTCATTGGATGACTGTACAGATATAAAACTAACTGCCAAAGGAACCACTTGGGTATTCCCAGGTCTCTGGCACCATATGTTAGATTATGAAAAGGTAGCTGTGGAGATACAGAAGGTGGGGAGAAAGAGAGGTGTGGTCTGACCTTAGGCCTGACAGTGTTTATTCACATTGAGGGGCCAATTTTGTCATCCAAGTGTGAGGATGGTCAAAATGACTACAGAAGATGGCCTCTCATAGGGGTGGGAATGACTTCCACAGTCCATGAGGGAAGCGGGGAAGTGTAGTTTTTTAAAAAAGATTTATTTATTTATTTATTATGTATACAATGTTTCTCATGAATTTATATCTCCATGCCAGAAGAAAGCACCAGATCTCATTACAGATGGTTGTAAGTCACCGTGCAGTTGCTAGGAATTTAACTCACGAACCCTGGGAGGGCAGCCAGTGCTCTTAACCTCTGAGCCATCTCTCCAGCCCCCAGTAGTGTAGTATTTTAGCAGGAAACTATCAGGCTATTAGGATTCCCCTCTCTAACCCACACTTAGTGACTACAATGTTTTGTTTTTTATTCTGGTAAAATATTCCTATGGAGCTGTCTAAAGAATACATGTTATAAGGGCTGGAGAGATGGCTCACTGGTTAAAAGTATCCCTGCTTTTCCAGAAGATGCAGGTTTGATTCCCAACACCCAAACTGCAGGTCACAACTGTCACTCCAGCTCCAGGGGATCCCATGCCCTCTTCTGACTTCCTCAGTCACCAGGCATGCAAGTAGTGCACAGGCATACATGCATGCAAAGTGCCCATACACATAAAAATAAATTTCAAAAAAGAATACATGTTATATACATAAGTATATTTATATATACATTAAATTATGGTTTAAAAACCCTCCAAATTGTGTGATTGCCACTGTGTGATGGTCATACTGTTATGGCCACCACATGAAAGCCACAGTGTGATGTCTGTGTAATGGCCAGCGTGCAATGGCCACTATTTGGTGGTGGTCACTCTGAAATACTCATTCTGTGATTGCCACGGTGTGATGGTCACTGTATGATTGTCACCCCATGATAGTACTGTGTGATGGCCATCATATGGTTACCACAGAATGAGGCCATCGTCTGCTGTCACTGAGTGATGGCCACTATATGATGGTTATAGTGAGATGGTAGCTGTTTGATGGCCATTGTGTGAAAGCCAGTGAATGACGTACACTATATGGTGGCCACCATGTGATGGTCACAGTGTGATGGTCACTATGGCCACTGTCTGGTGGTCTCAGTGTGATGGTCACTGTATGATGCTGTCCTAGGGTTTATATTGCTATGAAGAAACACCATGGCCACAGCAACTCTTATAAAGGAAAACATTCAACTGGGGTGGCTCACAGTTCACGGGTTTAGGCCATTGTCACCATGGCAGTACATGGCAGCATGCAGGCGGCAGACATGGTGGTGGAGAAGGATCTGAGAGTCCTACATCTTGATTCACAGGCAACAGGAAGTAAGCTGAGACTATGGACATTGTTTGAGCATCTCTGAGACCTCAAAGTCCTCCCACCCCCTCAGTGACACACTTCCTCCAACAAGGCATTGCCTACTCCAACAAAGTCACCCCTTCTAATAGTGCCACTCTCTATGAGCTTATGGGGGTCAATTATATTCAAATTACCAGATGGCAACCATGTGACAGTCACTCTTTGGTGGTCACAGTGTAATGGCCACTCTTTGGTCATCACTGTAGGATGACCAGCATGTGATGGCCATAGTGAGATGGCCACTGTGTGATAGCTTCTATGTGATGGCAAGAGTGATGGCCTCCAAGTGATAACAACCACTGGGTGATGTCCACTGTACATGGTCACAGTGAGAGAGAGTACCAGCTGAGGACCTGCATCCCTGCTGTCTGCTCTGTCCAGATGTGAGTAGCAGCTGAGATCTGCTTGCCCCATGATGAACTGTATCTTCGAACCATGAGCCAAAGAAAACCCTGCCTCTTCTGGTTCATTATTGTTGGGGATTTGATCACAGGATTGAGATGAGTAACAACCATAGCATCCTGTAAATATATGATGTATTTTATACCTGAAGACAAGCGGCAAACATAAATACTTTAGAAGGACGGTTGCAGAGCCTGGGTGTTTCTGAGTGTCAGAGACTGTATCGACTATTAACTCAAGACTCAAGAGCCTGGAAGCATGTCGGGCTGGCCAAGCAGAGACATTTTGACCAAAGAGAGAAGGTGGTTGGTGTCAGAAGGCTGCATCTGTCCATGTCTGTGGACTCTGGGAAAGACGTTTCCTCCTACAGCAAGATGGCCCAACCTTAGTTGTTTGGAGGTCTCTTGAGAAACTCTGAGGCCACCATACAGTTTCCCATATAATTGACTGTGACACAAGAGGTCCCAGGCCATGTCCTTTAGCAAAGAGGGGCATTTGGATGGGTAGAAACAAGTCTCTGGGCTTCTAGAAGCATTTGGGTTAGATTTTTCTAAGCTTCCTGATGAGGGTCAGGAGGCACTGGATTAGTGATTTTCTCATTGCAATAACAAAACACCTGACCAGAGCAACTTAAAGGAAGAAAGTTTGTTTTTGGCTTACAGTTTGAGGTACAGTCACCAGAGCAGGGACATGGGTGGTGAGAGGACTGTGAGCCATCCAGTCACACTCTGTTCACAGTCAGGAAGTAGAGAGATGGACGTTGATGCTTAGTTCATGTTCTTTAAAAAAAAAAAAAGACTTATTATTATTTTTATGTGTATCAGTGTTTCTTTTTGCATGATGTATGTGCACGCCTAGTGCCCAGGGAGGTCAGAAAAGGGTATCATATTTTCTGAAAAGGAAGTTACAGATGGTTATGAATTGCCCTGTGGGTACAGGGAACTAAACTTCGGTCCTCTGCAAGAGCAACACCTGCCCTTAACTGCTGAGCCATCTCTCCAGCCCTCTTTCTTTTTATTAAGCTCTTGAGACTAAGCCACTCACATTCTGGGTGAATTTCCCCTCCTTACTTAAATCCTTCTGGACACACCCAGAGGCCTCCTTGGTGACTCTAAGTCTGGTTAAGTTGAGGGTGAAGATTAACTATCATAGGCACTTGGCGACCTTCTCCCTTGAATATTTTGGGTGTGTTGGTTTAAGAGCTGGGAACACAGCTCAGCAGTAAAGCCCTTACCTGGTCTCCTGAGGCAGCCTGGCCTCCACCCCCAGTACCTGTTGAAAACAGTGACCTGCGTGTCTCTTATCGTCAGAGGAAGTTTAGGAAGGCGGCCTCGGACAAAAGGGCAGTTCTCTCGCTTCTACAAAAGGAAGCTGATGTAATATTTAACCATCGAAGAGAGGCAGCTGCTTGGACAAAGTCTGTCCAGGAATTAAAAAAAAAGAACAAGACCTAAGTTACCATTCAGTGGAGGAAGAAGTTCATGGGTCTTTTTGGAAATTCTGTAGTCTGTCATAAAAGACAAGATAATGTCATTGAAGATCAGGTGGTTTTCTTTACATCGGCTTGGATTTGGTTGCACAACAGGGCAGGTTCAAAAAGCCAGCAGTTAGTCTCACCTTTGTTGACCCGAAACTGTGCAGCTTCCAGAACACAAGGCCCGAAGTCAGTGTCCAGGCAGCATCTCACTACATTTGATGCTCATGCAGAACCTCTGCCAGTGATGCCACACACACCAAGGGCTCCTGCGCTGTCTTTCCTCTCCCACCGCTAGAGTGCTGCCCAAATGCAGAGAGCTAGAGAACCATGAACTGGGGCCAGGACTTATGCTCTCAAGGATCTCAAGCCTTGCTGAGAGATGACACGAAGGACAAAGTATCGCTGTGGCTTGTGTGTGATCCCAAGGCTTGTATGTAACTCACCTCTTGGATTCACGTATTGATGGCATTTGGAGGTCAAGCCGTGGGGACATAACCAGGGAGAGGTGAGGAAGCCAGGGTGGGGCTCCCTGATGGTATTAGTGGCTTTCTGAGAGGAAGAGAGACGTGGGCTGATGTACTGCCGTGTTCTCATCAGATGGGGAGAGGCGACAGAAAGAAGATCTTCCGTAGATGCCTGCATGCTGATATTGGCCCCAGAAATATGGAACTGTGAAAAATAGCTTTTTTTTTTTTCTGTATAAATGACTCAGCTTGTGGTTTCCTGTTATAAATGGCATAGGAGATTGCTTCTGTGACTCAGACAGGGAATACTATGTATGGACCTATTTCTGCCGAGCCGACCCAGCCAAAAACCAGGCAGTGGTGGCACACCACTTTAAGGCCAGCACTCAGGAGGCAGAGGCAGGCCGAACTCTGCGGGTTAAGGCCAGCCTGATCTACAGAGCTAGTTCTAGGATAGCCAAGGCTACACAGAGAAACTCTGTCTCCAAAAAAAAAAAAAAAAAGTCCAGTTAGGCTTCAAGCAGGTGGTGGCTTTGGTAGGACAGAAACAGAACCACATGCAGTGCCATGTGTAACTATAGAAAAGCAGCCCCTGATACAACAGTGGCTTGAGAAGTGATTATTATTATTATTATTATTATTATTATTATTATTATTAATGCATAGGCGTCTGGATGAATGAATATAAAGTAGAAAGACAGCTTGCCAATTTTTCATAAAACAGAAGCCTCCACTTTCTGGAAATCCACAACAATACTTAAGGCTTCACTTGGACCTTATTCTCCTAAACAAAGTTCAGCATTTGTTATACTCTGTTAACCACGGAAACCCAAAGGTCCTTCTCTAACTAACCCGCTGCGCTCCCCCTGCTCTCCCAGTCTCTGTGTCTTCTCATGTCGGGAGAGTCGCTGCGTGTGGAGCCATGGAGCACAGCAGCAATCGCCCAGAGGACTTCCCGCTTAATGTGTTCTCTGTCACGCCTTACACGCCCAGCACCGCTGACATCCAGGTGTCTGACGACGACAAGGCAGGGGCCACGCTGCTCTTCTCGGGCATCTTTCTAGGACTGGTGGGGATCACGTTCACTGTCATGGGCTGGATCAAGTACCAGGGTGTCTCCCATTTTGAATGGACCCAGCTCCTCGGGCCCATCCTCCTGTCAGTCGGCGTGACGTTCATCCTGATCGCTGTGTGCAAGTTCAAAATGCTATCCTGCCAGCTGTGCATGGAGAGCGAGGAAAGGGTCCTGGACTCGGACCCGACTTCCGGCGGACAGTCGTTCGTTTTCACGGGCATCAATCAGCCCATCACCTTCCACGGGGCCACCGTGGTGCAGTACATCCCTCCTCCCTACGGCTCTCAGGAGCCTCTGGGGATGAACGCCGCCGCCTACCTGCAGCCCATGATCAACCCTTGCGGTCTTGTACCTTCTAGCGGAGCGCCGGCCACCACCCCAAGTCCCCCTCAGTACTATACCATCTACCCTCAAGACAATGCTGCATTTGTGGAGAACGAGGGCTACCCTCCTTTCGTGGGTGTTGGAAATGACAGGTATGCGGGGTCCTGGGATCTCTGCTCTCCCGTTCAGCGTCACAGTTAGTATCGATGGCTAGGTTTGGATCTCCAGGCAGGAGATGGGAACTGTAGATGTCGGTGTAGCCTGCCGCCCAGAGTGGTGGCCACGGATCTCTGCAAGTGCCACTGTGTTTTGTACTATTTCAGGCCCAGCTCTGATCCTGACCAGCTAGAAGGGACGCAGATGGAAGAAGAGGACTGTGTACGTTTCTCTCCTCCCCCCTATGAGGAGATATATGCCCTCCCTCGCTAGAGACTGTAACATTAGGGAATGGACATTTAGGTCATTGTGTTGTGAGATTTGGAGAGACGTGTGTCGTGATCTTCAGACGTTAGATGCCAAAGCAGCTCAGGCAACCTTACAGCTGCCATTTAAGGTAGGAAAGCAGTGGGGGTGGGGATGTGAAATGTTTCAAGGCTGTTAAATTAAGCTGCCCTGGGTAAGTTCACAAGTGCTACCGGTTTGAATTCTCTCAGCTGAGAAAGTCTCCACTTTCGGAGGCGCCACTTAGTGCTAGAATGATATGTAGTGTGTTCTGTGCCTTGGGCTTGATCTTCAGTGCCAGAAAATGAAACCCAAACCCAAACCAAATACGATCCCTCTACATAAGGTTCAGGAGGAAAATGTCACCTCTCTCTCCTCCCAGACTCTGTCCTTTTCCAGGCATTAGTTTTAACTCCAGTGGCCGGGCATCTTTCAGAGAGATGAAAGCGGGGGCGGGAAGGAAGCAGGAAGAGAAAGCCGGCCCAATAGAGATTTCCCTGCACCCTGGCCTTCCAAAGTGGACTTCCTTATCCCAAACAACCTGGTTGCTGTCTGGTCTCCCTTGAAGCCTTTGGATTTGGAAAAGTCTGTAAAAGAAGTAAAGAGGGAAACCCATTAACAAATAAATGAATAAAAAGAGTGGGATAAAATAATGCCTGGTGTTAGCATGGTATCGGATGGCTGATGAGACCATTTGGAAGAGAGCGGCAGGAAGATGAATAAATCCAGAAGCTGTCACCAAGTCACAGTGACTCTCGCTGCTATTGTTGTCTTCTACAAGGTTGAAGCTCAAGGTGTCACAGCCAGGAGTGAGCTCCTGGACCTCCCAGGCTAGGATCTGCTGACTTGAACTAGCTCAGTCTGATCTCCACAGGTGAGAAGCCTTCACATATTCCTCAGAACAAAGAAAGCTGATCTCCTTTATCTTTTGAAATCCCAATAGAGTCATCAGCAATCAGGACAAAGCTGCAGCTTTAGGAGGTTTCTCAAGGTTTACAAAGAGAAAGGGCCATTCAGGGTAAAGATTGTTTTCCTCAGAAAAGATGCAAGGATTAGCAGGTTTTGGTACTGTGTTTTTTTGTCAAGTGATTTTTACTTTCTATGATAAATATCTAGATTTTTCAATGATAGTAAAATAATCTTGGCTTATTATTGTGATTCATATTATACCTTAGGGATAAAATCTTTTTTGTGGGGAGGGGGCGGGTTGAGACAGGCTTTCTCTGTTGCTTTGGAAACTGTCCTGGAACTAGCTCTTGTAGACCAGGCTAGCCTCAAACTCACAGAGGTCCTCCTGCCTCTACTTCCTGAATGCTGGGATTAAAGGTGTGCGCCACCACCCCCGGGTGGGATAAAAGCTTTTATAGTTAATTTCCACATTGGTGTTAGCAAGTAATAGAAAACTAGAAGCCTCTATACTCAGCGTGCTGACTCTCCATCCAACTTGTTCATGAAATCCCAGACACTCACTATTTAGACTGTCTTAGAATTCTCTATGTAACTAACTATGTAGATCAGGCTGGCCTCAGTCTCGTAGAGATCCGTCTGCCTCTGCCTCCACATGTGCAGAGACTACAGGCACGCACCAACATGACCAGCAAAATTCCCAATTTTTAGCTAAGGGTCTCTTAGCTAAGGGCCACGGACTTGAGGGAGGAAATTAGGAGACAAAGACATAATAGAGCATCATTAATGGCATGCTGACTGACAAACGACACAGCCCTGCCTCCCTCATCCCCTTTCTTCCCAGCCTCGCCTCCTTTTAGAATCATGAGTTGAGTCATAATGAGCCTCAGAAAGGAAACGTCGGGAAAGAGCATTTGTATGGAGCCAGCTTGGACAAGACAGACAGTCGTCTTGGTGTTTCTGGGAGGGTCGGCTATTCAGGAATGGGACTGCTGGGTATTTTAACTCCAGGCAGCATAATCATTCAGCATCACTGTTCCAGTCCCTATGCCAACAGAGGTGTCATTTATGTCCCCAATGATGCTACTGCAGAACTGATATCCTCAGAGTTCAAGGTGCATGTGAGATTTGCAATAATTGGGGGACCAGAAAATTAGAATTTGGGAGCTAGGAATGTAGCTCAGTTGATATAACACTTATGGAACAAGCACAGAAATCTGGTTTGGTCCTCATTGCTACATATACTGGGCGTGGTGGTCCATGCTTGTGATCCAAGCACTCTGGGGCAGAAGCAGAAGGGTAAGACATTCAAGGTTGTTACCTGCTACAGCTCATGTCCTAAGGCCAGCCTGATGTACACACGACTCTATTGCAGAAGAAAGATAAGGTGGGAATTTGGGTTTTTTTTTCAAGCCACGCTTATTTGTTGACATCTACTCTTTGTGGAAACAGCGGCCACAAAGCCAGAAGATATTTGTGAGAAACCAAACCGAGAAGGAACAGACACAGCTTGGCCGGCAGAGCACTTCCAGTCCAGTGGGGGAATAGGCAGTGGTTTCTTTTCTCTGTTATCTATTGTTGACTCTCAGATTTCCAGGCGGGATCCTGGGGAAGTCAAGTCAGAGCCACGGCCTTGTGTGCCCCCAGGGAGTGCTGTTCCCAGGGTCAGCCCAGCCACCGGTGTAGGTCAGGGAGAGAGGACTATGCAGGAACTTAAAGAAACATTTATTTTTATTGGAAAGAGAAGGTGGGGGGGGGGCACAGCACACAGAGGGAGGAGCCTGCAAATCGCTGTGGGAGGCAGACGAGGCAGCAGGTGGGCTGTCTTACCGGCTACAGCTGCCCCAAAGGGAGCGTCCGTAGTCAGTTTTTCCGTCTGCACGGGAGTGAACTCGCTCATTTTCCTGCTGTGAGACAGCCCCACCACACTCCGTTTTTGTATTTGGGAGTGAATAAGGCTGAAACCCACTGAGGGACACCTGGCCTGTGACCACCAGGTCCTTGCTCGGACTCCTGGTCAGCCAGTATGTGTTCTCAGCCGATTTTGGTTGCTGCTGAAATGGCTGCCTTTGAACGTTCTCTCCACATCTTATCAAGGGTGCGTGTGAGACTGATCTGGGGACAGGGGACTGGAGCCAGACCTCTGGTTTTCTGTCCCCTCCTTAGATGATTTGTGGGGGAGGCAGCATGGCTCCGGGCAGACACTGAAGGAGTCTAATGTTCAGCTTTCCAAGCGTGTAGGCTTTGTGCGAGGACTATTTCATTTTTATCTCTCTGGAAGAAAGCCAGTCCATTCTAATTAAGTCACCAATAGTACCTTTATGTGGCCAAAGGAGACACACCAGTGTGTGCCCAGCCCCCAGTTCTGCACTGTCTCAGGGAAGGCCAATGCAGTGAGAACAGCCCAAGGAGTGGGAGATCTCTGAGTAAGAGAGGGTTAACGTGTAGCCTCGCGCCCTATACTTTTATCACCGTACATTTTTTTTGAGGTGAAAAGACTTGGTGATCAGAGCCAATTTTCCATTTCTTCAATTTGACTAAAAAAAAAAAAAAATTAACCTCTCTTATTGCCTTCCTTCTGTCCCATTCAAACCTTCCTTCTCAACAAGTGCCTCTCCTTTGTATGAGTGTGTGTGTGTGAGTGTGAGTATGTGTGTTTGTGAGTGTGTGTGAGAGTGTGTGACTCTGTATGAGGGTATGAGTGTATAAGTGAGTGTGTGTTTGTGAGCGTGTGAGACAGTGTTTGACTGTATGAGTGTATACGTGAGTGTGTATGTGTGTGTTGTGTGAGTGTGTGTGTGAGAGAGTATGTATGAGTTTGTATGTGTGTGTGTGTGTAAATGTGTGTGTGTATATATATGTGAGTGTGTGACTGTGTGAGAGTGTGTGTGAGCGAGTGTGTGTGACTGTGTATAAGTGTGTGTGAGTGTGCATGTATGTGTGTGTTTTATGTTTGGTCCATTGAGTTTCACGAGGGTCATTTGCATGAGCATGGGAGTGAACTCATTTGCAGCCTGATGCACTCTTCGTGGTCAGCACTTCGCTGAAACCCTCGTTGAACAGCGCTCAAAAATCGTCTTAGCTCATGAAAAAGAGGACCACCATGCAGCTGTTGCTGCTTCCCGAGGCTCCTGTGAAGCGAATCAGCAGCTGAGGTCTCAGCATTTCTCTCCACCTCAGTGGATTCACCAGCCAGCGAGTTGCTGGCTAGCCACAGGAACTGTAATGACTGTGAAATGGGACCAGCTGCTGGGGGAAGCATTAGTGAGCCCACCCGAGATGGGGGCTACAGTATGAGGCAGAGCAGTAGGGGTTGGCCTGAGGACAGCTCTCACCCGAGGGACTCTGATGGCGTTGGGGCCATGTAGGAAGTCTTTGCTCCCACAGGCATCCCAAGTGCATGGTGACTCAGTAGCTAGAACTGCAGGACTCTGTGGGAGTGTTCTAAGGAGGAACTGTGACCTCTTAGGCCATGGCCCAGAAGACTTATTGGGGTGTGATGCCTTTGCTCCTCCCTTCACACTCAGCCTCCAGTGGGGTCATGTAGTAGACCACCTACAGAGAACTCAAAATGTTGCTGAGAAAACTTATAATTACAGGAAATAAATGGGCTTTAAAAATACTTTATTAGTTGTGGTAATTAAACCCACACAGATAAGACTTTTCAACTTAATATTGTGTGTTACCTCTGTACAAATAAAACAAGTGAACTCAACATTTTAAATAAAACTATTAATTCCTGTACATTGGTAAGTCGACATGGTAAACTTGTTTTCCAAAGTTGACAACATAGTTAGTTTCCAAAAATCAAATATATGTGCATATATCTCATTTTATGTTTGTATTAAAAGCCCAATAACATGTATAGAAACATCCAGAACACTTCATTGAAACAATGTAAAAAACAAAACCCTAGAAAAGAACACAGTTGAGGCTGTGGGACCCACACCACTTCTTTCTTATTAGCTTGTCAATCATCATCTGGACAAAGAACATTCTGGGAGCACCACCGAGAACAGCTCTAATAAGGCAGGGTCACTATTAGGCATTGTGGGGCAGGTGCAAGCTGTTCTACAACCATGGAGGTTGGGCACTGACCTATAATGGCAGTGCCAG